CGTTTGTTTTGCGCATTTATTTGCTTCAGATCTGCATGCTGACCGGTTTCTAAAAAAAAAAAACTTTAAAAGAGAAAAAAAGAAGAAAAATAGCAGCGTAGGGAGATAATTACTTATTTTTGGAAAAGTAAAACCAATGTCCAAGTAGTGTCAAAACCTCGCCGGAATTTTCTTTTAAAAAAAAAAAGAAAACAAAAAAAGAAAACAAAAATTTGTCTTTTAGTTTGATTTATTAAAAATCCAAAAAAGGTATTTGTTTAAAAATAATAAAAAACAAATTCAAAAAATATATAATATTTTTCTTTTGTAGTATCTCTTTCATAAATGCATACTAATAGTCCAAATACTTCCATAAAAAAAATTTCAAAGTTTCAAAAAAGAGTAAAAATAAAAAGAGTCTTAAATTAAAAAAAAAAATATTTCTTTAGTCTTCATCTCTTTTCAAAAAAATAATAAAAGAAAAAAATATAAAATATAAAAATCCAAAAATATTTTCTCCTTTCTTTTGAAAGATTTTATTAAAAAAAAGAGGATTTAGTCTGTTTCTGATCAGCCCGAACTATGTCGGTTTGATTCTCACAGGGTGCGAGATACGTAGGCAACCCTCATCGGGTCCAACCTCCCCTTTTCAAAATAGCCAAAATGTTAGAATTTTAATTTCATCATGAATGAGTCGGGTAATGCCGTTTTGTCAAGAATAGCCGAATGTTCCCAAAAGGGACGCCGGAAGGCTGACTTTGCACAAACGACCATTATTGGTCATTTTTATTTTTTCTGACCAAATTGCCCAACGGCCTTAGGATCCTCGTCCCCGAAGCTCTGTGAGGCCGTGTTCCCCATGTTGGTTCATTACTAAAAAAAAAGAGTCATAAATAAATCAAGCGATTGTTTTTGTCAAAAATAGCCAAATGTTCCCGAGAGGGACGGCGGAAGGCTGATTTTGCATAAACAGCCACTTTCGGTCATCTTTTAGAGTTTTTGATCGCTTGACCCTCACAGCCTTAAAATCTTCATCCCCGAAGTACTGAAAGGCCGTGTTCGAAAATCAGATATTTCTTTCTAAAATATAGTCAAATCATTTTTTAGTCAAATCATTTTTGCTTAAATCACCTTAATAAATGTGCAGGATGAGCACAATGCAAAATGAACACTTTGTTTCTTTATTTTTGCACTTGTTAGTCCCGAACTACGCAAGATCTGATTCACGCGGCATCGTGATACATAGGCAATCCTCATCGGATCCGGTCACATTTTTAACTGCAAATAATGAAAACAATAATAATAGGAAATAATAATAATAATAAAAAATGATGATAAATAAAGGGAAGCCTAAAGAGAAGCCGGAATGACGCATGTTTTCGTTGCAAACATGTAGAAATTCACTTAACTGTATAGGTGCATCACGCCCCAACGTGAGATTAGCATGCAATGTCCACATGTGAAGCTCATGCCTNGTACACTCTTGGTCTAGCTGGAGGTGGAGGAACATGCTCCCTCGTCAACTCAGGTTCAACATTCGCTTCCTCCTCCTCATCACCCTTATCATGGAAGGGTGTGTCATTCCCATACTCATCCACATTGTTGTCATAATCACTATCATCTTCCTGACTCTGCGCATCTGCCAAATCACGAGTAAATACGTCGTCTATGGGCAACTGTGTGAGGTCAAGAGCTTCAAGAAGCTCGTTTTCACTGCACATAAAGAACAAAATGATAAGTTACCCAACTAGATAAATACTTTAGATATAGCTATATCACTTTACTTACAAGTCGTACTATCTTGACGTTTCATGATGGATATTTTCATGTTGGTGATGACTCCCAGATGGACCATCATGGTCCAATACTCCAGAACTACTCATATTCCAACTAGGGGCAGAGTCATAACTTGTAAAATTCATATCCGGACGGTACCCCCTATGAAAAATATGAGTGTTAATACAAATCCAATTA